GAGGAAGCGGTAGCTCCCGTCCCGCCCCCGCCCCCATCCTCGTCCTCGTCCTCGTCCTCGTCTGCCTCCTCCTGGACCGGTGTCTCCTCCTCCTCACCCGCCTCCTGCTACACCTGCTCCTCCTCCTCCTCCTCCTCCTCCTGCTGCTGCTGGACCACGGGCGTGGTCCTCCTGTTCCTCCTAGTCATGGTCCTCGTGCTCCTCCGCCTCGTCGAAGACGTCCCCTGCTCCTCCTCGCCCCCTCCGCTGGAGGCTCCTACACCGGAGGCTCCATGGTAGAACGAGCTCAGGTTCCTCTCTTCGGCCGCCCGACATTTTTGTTCAGTCACCTGCAATTAAAAAGAAGAAAGAAGTAATTAGAAATAGATGCAAAATAAACAAAACAAAACAAAATTACAAAATTACAAAGTATTACATGTATGTTACAAATAATCTTCATGATCGGGATTAGCTGGATAGTAAGTCTCATCATCACTATCAACCATGTCGAAATAATCAACACTATCCGATGGAGGAATGTTGTCTTCATTGTCATTGCCTACACGTAATTGCTCAAGCATTTGTAAGTCCTTTGCATTTCGCACTTCATCTCCATCGTCATCATCATCAACCATTACATTGTCTACGTCCATTCCTATCTCACCGGTTAAGTCTATCTCAAACCTCCCTTGTAGCCCATCTTCTTGATAGAACTCTCCGTCATACGTGCTTGGGTTGAAGTTATAATCTTCATCGTTTGGGACAGGTAGTCAACCATGTGGCGAGACCTTGTGCACAACAAACCAACCACTAAGATCCGGTCTAGTCTTGCAAGCATATGACGTATAATAAACCTATGTGGCCTGTTGCGCCACAATGTACACATCGTCTCTTGGATAGACGGAATCCTGTCGAATTTCGATTAGACCAAGATGAGGGGTCTTCCTCGTTACTCCCGGATCAAACCAATGGCATCTGAATACGACAGGATAAAGATTTGTGCTACCACGGAATGAAAGTTCGTATATTTCTTCAATTCTTCCATAATAGTCTACGCCATCAGTGCCGGGTGTAAAAACCCCGCTATTTGTGGTTCTTCGATTGGGCCGCCTCCGCTCGTAGCTTCCTGTGTGAAATCGATATCCATTGATGTCGTAGGCATCCGATGACTTGACCCTTTGGTCATAGCCATTGGCAACCTGTCTTCAAGGTTGGTCAGCACATATAACATGATTTTGTGCCACTCCACATTTGTCAGGGGCTTATTGGTCGATGCACCTGCTCTTCCAAGTTGCCCTTGGAAAAGGCTGAGGCTCGAGGCATTTTTGTCAGCATTGTAATGAGGAGGTGGATTATGCACACTTGGAAGGTTGTCAGAATAATACAATGTTGTGAAGTTTGACACCTCCTCCATAGTGAATGCACTTGCAATGGAAGCCTCAATTTTGCCTTTGTTTTTACACTTTTTCCGAAGTGTCTTTAGGCATCTCTCGATTGGATAGCACCAATGGGCCTGCACGGGCCCCCCATTCGTGCCTCATACGGGAGGTGCAATATCAGATGCTGCATCAGATTGAAGAAGCCGGGTGGAAAGATCTTCTCTAACTTGCAAAGCAAGACAGGTGCCACTTTTTCCAAGTCTGCAATCACGGTCCGAGATAACTCCTTGGCACAGAGCTGGCGGAAGAAGTAGCTCAACTCTGCCAGCACTGTCCATATGTGCTCAGGGACAAAGCCTCGAACCATCGTCAGAAGAAGCCGCTCAATCCATATGTGGTAGTCGTGACTCTTCATCCTGTTCACTCGGAGAGTAGTTAAGTTCACTCCCCTCCTCAGATTCGCTGCATACCCATCAGGGAACATTAACGTCTGGATCCATTGGAGTACTTCCCTCCTTTGTCTGGGGTCAAGACGAAATCTGCCTTAGGCCTTTTCCATGTCTTGCCGCCTCTAGGAGCACGCATCTCTTGATGTGGTATATCACACAACTCTGCTAGGTCCACTCTAGCCTTAGGGTTGTCCTTTGACTTTTTAGTTTCCATGATTGTTCCCTAGAGTTCCTCGGCGACATTCTTTTATGTGTGCATAGCATCAATGTAATGTGGCATAAGAAGGTCATCAAAATAGGGGAGCCTCGTCAAGCCCGACTTATAAGTCCACATGTGTTCCTCACTGTATCCCACGAAGCCATCACCTTCTTGATTCTCCACGAGAGCATCTATCTGAGCATGAACCTCGGCACCAGTCATCATCTGTGGTGTAGGTTCTGTCACTACGACACCTTTCATAAAGTTCTGGGTGTCTTGCCTGAATGGATGCTCGGGAGGGAGGAATTGACGATGTTTGTCAAACGACGAATACTTGCCACCCTTCTTGAGCCAGATGAACCTCAGACGATCCTTGCATAATGGACATGGGAACTTCTCGTGGACACACCAACCGGAGAATATCCCATACGCTAGGAAGTCATGCATGGCGTACTGGTACCAAACATGCATTTTGAAGGGTGTCTTTGTAGCTCTGTCGTATGTCCATACCCCATCCTCCCAAGCACTGACCAATTCATCAATCAGAGGCTCCATGAAGACACCCATCTTCTTCCCTGGGTGTCCAGGAATTATCAATGACAAGAATACGTTCTGACGTTCAAATGCGACGCCGGGGGGGGGGGATATTGAGGGGGATGACGAACATGGGCCAACATGTGTAGGGGGCAGCCATCAAACCATAAGGATTGAACCCATCTGTTGCCAGCGCAACACGTACGTTACGAGGCTCTGATGCTTTCTCATGATGAATGCCATCAAAGTGGTTCCATGCTTCACCATCGGACGGATGTACCATCTTGTCAAGATTGTATCATGTGCCCTGTTTGTGCCACGTCATCTGCTTAGCAGATTCCTCTCTCATGTATAGCCGTTGGATCCTCGGCACGAACGGGAGGTACTGTAAGATTTTCATCGGGACGGTAAGCTACTTCTTGTGGCCATCCCTAGAGTCTACCTCCAGGTACCTGGAGGATTTGCACTTCGGACAGTACTTTTCATGCTCATGTTCTTTCCTAAAGAGGACACACCCATTTGGACAAGCATGTATCTGCTCGTAAGGCATCTTGAGTCCATCAAGGAGTTTCTGGCACTCGTACAGGCTCTTTGGCAGAACGTGGCCCTCTGGAAGCATGCTAACAATCAAGGCCAACATACCATCGAAGTGTTGTCGACCCATGTTGATCTCGGCCTTGAACCCCATCACGCGTCCAATGGCATCGAGTTGACAAACCGTTGTCCGATCATGAAGGGGTTTCTGTGCCGAAGACATCATGTCATAGAACGCCTTTGCGGATGCCTCCGTCTCCTCCGCACGTCCATCAGGGATCTATGCTTGTTGATAGTCATCTAACATGTCCGCAACCCCGCCATCATCATCAACATGCTTGAGGCGTGGTCTCACCACTTCCTCTCTCATCCGATGGGCTTCACCGTGGTGGATCCACCGGGTATAGTCCGGCATAAAGCCATGCTTCTGAAGATGTATACCCATGTTGTTCTTCTTTTGCCATTTTACTTGTTTGCACACACATGCTTTGGGACACTTCATTAGATGCGCTCTATTCGCACTTCGGCGAATGCACGGTCCAAGAAAGCCTTGGTCTTCGCCCCCATTCAAAGTCTTTGAAATCACTCGACTTCGTATATCCATGTACATCCACTCACGATCATCCATCCTCTAAAATAGATATCAACGAGTAACGTAACCATCAAGCTGCATCTCACGTAGTGTTTCTACTATCTAATAGGTGAGGATAGGTCCTAATCCCACCCGCGGATGCGTAGATGAGGTTAGTTTCCATGGTCTACTCGAGTCGAAACAAATTTGGCAACACCTCCCTCATTGTTCTCCGGATACACGCCCTGGCGGGAGAGTGTGTATCCGGAGAACAACACGGAGGTGATGCCAAAACTCTGTCTCGGATTGGAGCGAACCATCAAAAAACTAACCTCGTCTACGCATCCGTGGGCTGTCCAGAAAACGTGGATAATCCGAAACAGATACGGTTATACATTTGCAAAGATCTGCATACTTCCAACCGTATCTCTTTCGGACGGGAGACGCCTAACTGGGTTACACCGATCTACGACAACGATAAGGAAGAGAGGTTATTTATACCTAGGGTGGTGGTGGAGTCAGGCTAGCGGGGCAGTGGCGAGTCGGTGCAGTGGCGAGGCGAGGCTGTGCAGGCAGGACCGCAGCACCGACGAAGACGATCTGGGTCGCCTAGGTACTATGGGTCCCCTCCGACAGGCCCTGCTCTGCAAAACAAGAAACACAACACTATAAGTTGAAAATTTCGACAGAACCTCCCCTGTACAGGGAGGTTTCCAAAACCTATAAAAAATAACGGCATGAAGGCCGACATTCACAAGGGCACGAAGGCCGACATTCACGACATTCACAACGGCACGAAGGTCGACATTCATGACACGAAGGCCGACATTCACAAAGGGACGGTGCATATACCTTGGGCGGTGGCGGGACGTGCACGCGCAGAAGAAGACGCCAAGAACTCCTCCTCCTTCCTCCTCCTTCTCCTTCTCTTCCCCTTCCTCCTTCTTCCTCCTTCCTCCTCTCCTTCTTCCCCTTCTTCTCTTCTTTTCTCTTCTTCTTCTCCTTCCTTCCCTTCCTCCTTCTCCTCTTCTCCTTCCTCCTACTTCACCTCTGCCTCCTCCCTCCAACAATCGACGGCGAGGGGGGGGGGCGGGTTAGCGCTGCCCCCCACGGAGGGGGAGGAGGAGGATGGCCCTCCCTCTCCTTCTCCGTGGGCGGTGGGCAGCTTGGCTGGGGCTTGGTAGGGCGTGGAGGGAGGGAGGAGGGAGGGAGGAGGAGGGGAGGAGGAGGAGGGGGCAGGGGGGGGGGGCTGAGCGGGTGGGCAGGGTGGGTGGCTGGTGCGTGGGGGCGGTCTTTGAAGGCTTTGGCAGGCGTGGGCTTGTGGGCGGACGGTGGGGTGGGGGGCGGGGCTCACCATGGGGGGGGGGTGGCGGGGGCGGGTCGCAGACGAGGCAGGTCTTGGCGTGTTGTGTGTGTGTGGCCGATGGGGCTTGGGGGTGGGCGGCCGTAGGACATTTCCTTTCCTTTGCCGAGTGCCTGCGAACTGGCACTCGGCAAAGAATTTTTAATTTTTTTTTTCAAATATCTTTGCCGAGTGCCGTAGATATGGCACTCGTCAAAAAGTTTTCTTTTTTTTTTAAAAAAAGAAACAACCGTACTTAAAAGAAAAAAGACCTTACCTCTTTGCCGAGTGCCGCAGATCTAGCACTCGGCAAAGCTCAGATTAAAAAAATCCGAAATCGTCCGCGTTTTTTTTTAAAAAACTTTCACCTTTGCCGAGTGCCCCCCCTTTAGGCACTCGGCAAAGCATAATTTTTTTTGTTTTTGCCTCCAAACTTTTTCTTCAGCCCTTACACATTAAGTTGAAGTACATCATCAAATTTGGCATATTTCTCGATCTTTTTGCTATATATCCTTAATTTATTTTATTTAATTGCATTTTTTCGGGAAATGTAAGTTTGAACTGCAGGTGCATCGAATCATGGAATTCGACGAGTGGAAAAATGATATTCGCTTTACTTATTGTATTTTGAGGCCGTTTCTAGGAGCACGCCCGAAGTTTCAAACATCTCACGCACGAAACATAGCGACAAAATTGCGGGTGAAGTGTTTTTTAATTATATAAAATGCAAACGAAGTTTGAAAATCATGAAACTTGGTGACGCGTCTTTACATCACATGTGGAGGCTATAGTAAAAATTTGAGAACATTTCGCGCACATTGTCACGTAGGATGGTTAGAAACCTAGTGATCTCAGGTGTGATCACATTTCACGCACGTTGTCACGTATGATGGTTAGAAACCTAGACATCTCACGTGAGATGTCTAGGTTTCTAACCATCCTATGTGACAACGTGTGCAAAATGTTCTCAAATTTTTACCATAGCCTCCACATGTGATGTAAAGACGCGTCACCAAGTTTCATGATTTTCAAACTTTGTTTGCATTTTATATAATTAAAAAACACTTCACCCGCAATTTTGTCGCTATGTTTCGTGCGTGAGATGTTTAAAACTTTAGGCATGCTCCTGGAAACGGCCTCAAAATACAATAAGTAACGCGAATATCATTTTTCCACTTGTCGAATTCCATGATTCGATGCACCTGCAGTTCAAACTTACATTTCCCGAAAAAATGCAATTAAATGAAATAAATTATGGATATATAGCAAAAAGAACGAGAAATGTGCCAAATTTGAGGATGTACTTCAACTTAATGTGTAAGGGTTGAAGAAAAAGTTTGGAGGCAGAAAACAAAAAAAAAATAAAAAAACTTTGCCGAGTACCCAACTCTGGCACTCGACAAAGACTCTTTGCCAAGTGCCTAACGGGGGGGTACTCGGGAAAGCTGACGGCAAGTACCCCCGTCAGCTCTTTGTCGAGGGCCGTCCTTTGCCGAGTGTGGTCTCGGCAAAGAGGCTCTTTGTTCGGCGCCGGTTTTCGCTGAGTGCGGGCACTTTCGGCAAAGAGAGCTTTGCCGACATTTCGGCAGTGCCTGGCACTCGGCAAGGAGCTCTTTGCCGAGTGCCCGATATTTAGCACTCGGCAAAGCCAGGCTCTCCCGTAGTGCACTCCTGAGTCCTGACTTGTCCATTCCTTTCTTCCTCGAGGCTAAACAGCTAAACCCAAACCCCAACGTCCTAGACAACTTATTGTATAAGTAATGTCTCTTAGAAAGGCTTAAAAACACCCTTACAGATTTGCTCTAAAATATTTAAAAGTGCAAGCATTAAAAGTAGAGGGAGAAGAGATTTTGTCGGTACAACGTATCCCAGCGCATTCAATATCCGTGCAACCCCCGGACTCACCGACTTCCGTCATTACTGGAAATCCTAGCATTAGTACCGGGCTATAAACCCCTTTAGTACCGGTTGTGCAACCGGTACCGCATTTTCGGTGCCATTTAGTATGGGTTGCAACAACCGGTACTAACGGGAACACCAACCGGTACTAAACGGCTGCCCACGCCACGTGAGGTGGCGCAGGCCATTTAGTACCGATTGGTGTTACCGGTACTAAATGGTTTTGAGTACTAAATGGGTAGCCATTTAGTACCGGTTGCAACAACCGTTGCAACCGGTACTAACGGGACCATTTAGTACCGGTTGGTAACACCAACCGGTACTAAACGACTGCCCACGCCACGCGAGGTGGCGTAGGCCATTTAGTACCGGTTGATGTTACCGGTACTAAATGGTTTTGAGCTTAAAAAAGAAAAAAACTTTTGAACTTGTCGGGAGGGCTCGCGATTTTTTCACGCGTAAATGCGCGTGCGCAGTCCATGGGGTTCGAACTCGCGACCTCGGCCTCGTGCGTAGCTTCCTCTACCATCCCACCTATGCATCACTTGTGACTAGGTGGGATATGCTATCCTTTTGAACTATACCGAGGCAGACCATTTAGTACCGGCTCGTAACACGAGCCGGTACTAAATGCCACCATTTAGTACCAGGTGGTGTTACAAACCAGTACTAAATGGTCCCGGGGTTTCCCTGTACTTACGAGCCGATACTAAATGGTCCCGGGGGGTCTCTGTGCTTACCAACCAGTACTAAATTGGCTTAGTACCGGCTAAAAAAACAACTGGTACTAACGTGAAGTGGACGAATGCTCCTTTCTCTAGTAGTGCGTGCTTCAGACTTGCCCCCAAACGGCTCAAAAATTTCGGGAACATGCGGTGGGATCTCGCCCGGGGTGGCTGATCGACGGCTGTGATCGCCGGCACCGTGGACGGCCCAAGCGCCGCCGCGAACCGGAGAGTGAGGATGAGGAGTCCGAGGAGGAGGAGCAGCAGGAGGAGCCCCGAGAGGAGGAGAACACGGAGGCGGTGCCCATCGGGGACCCCGTCAAGGTCACCGGTAAGGGGAAGAAGCAGAAGAAGCACTACATCTCCTTCGAGTACGAGGGCAACACCTTTGAGCTGGTAAGCCGCCGCCTCCTTCCTCTTCCGCTTCCCGATTTCCGCCGTGTTGTGTGGTTTTAGGGTTTCGGGAGGCACGGATTATTTCCTTTCCGGTGGGTGATTGGCTGATTGCTGTGGGCTTTATCGTGCAGGAGGACCCCGTGCTGCTCACACCTGAAGACCGCACTCAGAAGCCCTATGTCACCATCCTCAAGGTCTGCGATCAGATCAGGGACTCGGCAATTTAAATGTTATTTTATTATTTTTACTCGATTTGTTTGTAGGGTTCCATAGGCTAGTTCACAAAGCTTGATGAGTTTGCAGCTATTGATGCTTCTGTTCTGTGATAGTTTGAGTGACCGGAGTCTTTATACCAGTAAGATAGACATGTTCATTTTACTATGAATGCTAATTAACTAGGCACATGGGATTAGGCTAGGTTCTCATTTGTGCTATTTCCAAATTGGCATTGTGCCTAGACTGTAACTCACATAGATTTGTATCAAGGTGTTTGTTTATGTGACCTCACAGCTTTCGCATAAATGCTTCCTTTAAATGTCATAATGCCAAGTTTTTTTTGGATTGTTTATGTTGTTCCCTGCATCTGGTTGTTACTACTAACTTCGAACTGTTGCTTTGAAGTGTTGGAAAATGGACATCATAGTTGACATTTTTCGTGAACATTAACTAATTAAGTGCTTGCTGCTAGGCATCATTTTGGGTTTGATTTTTTGTTTCTTATGTTGCCATGGATGTAAATGGACCCTAAGCTGAGGCCAACCTTTGTGTGGAGCAGTTTAATGTCAGCCTTACCTTATATTCTCTGACTGGAATGATTACCCATTCTTGCTAGTGGTGAGGCCAAATTCCCTTATCATTTTACAACCAGAACGATATGTTTTAATATAGTGATCCATAGTTTTAGTTTTTGATACAGATACCTACTTGCTATGGTTCTCTATGATATTTGATTTTTTGTAACACATTTGCATGCTACTTATCTTGGAGCAGGATATAACACAAACAGAGGGTAGCTTAAATGTGACTGGTTTTATAGACCAGAAGAGGCTGATAAGAAGGGTGGTGGAAATTGGGTAGCACGTGATATGAGAGAGCTATTTTACAGTTTTCATATCGATAATGTGCCTGCAGAGTCAGTTATGCACAAATGTGTGGTCCATTTCATTCCTCAGCACAAGCAAATTCCCAGTCGAAAGCAACACCCTGGATTTATTGTCCAGAAGGTCTACGATGCAGTTGAGAAGAAACTTTGGAACCTAACGGACAAGGACTATGAGGATAACAAGCAACAAGAGATTGATCTCCTTGTTAAGAAAGCAATAGACCGTATTGGGCAGCTTCCTGACCTTGAACCTGAAGAAACACCTATGGACAACAGCGATCATTTATCAAATAAACGAGGCCTACGTAAAAGACCTGTTAACCCTATAGATGTAACGAGAGAATCTCTAGTTGGCAAATCTGAGCAGTTTCCAAAAGCAGAGACACCTGGAAGTGATAACCTAAGGAATTATGACATCCTTGTCAGATATAAAGCACTTTATGGTGAGAAAAATCGTGATAAGTGGCTCGACAAATTGGTAGATTGTATTCCACTAGCATCAAAGGAGAGTGCCGAAGCATCTCATGCCGAAAGTTATTGCAAGTAATGCCAAAGGAGGTCATTGTACAAGCCAAAGGATTCCTAGGTCATTGTACAACTTACCAAATGAAGCATTGTCACCTAGGGACACTACTAATTAGCAAACATAACCAACTCCAATGGCTGCTAAACTGATCCTACATTTGTTTGTGAAATAGAATTTTGAAATGATCCAGAACCATTTACGTTATGAATGCCATGTCATTTTCAATGGATTTCTGAGGATGCATTTATTTATTAACATGCATTTCTAAAATAAGTTATCTGAGATGTGAGGCTTTAATAAAGCCTGTGTTAATGCTGTGGCTTGCTAATATGGCAAAAATTGCGCTCTTTGTGTTGGTGATATAGTCTCTTATTTGTTCCATCTTCAAAACCTATAGACTGAAGGGAAAAGAGATGTACTTAGATGCTTGAATTTGTGGCATAGGGTATTTACTGTTAGTCTGCCAAATTATCTCTGTTATATCTGTCACTGGTCAGTATGATTTCTTCAGCAAGCACTAATTATGGCTTTAAGCACCAACCATATATTAGCAATGCAATTAACCATAATCTCTTTTTCATTGGTGATGGCCATCTTGTTAGTGCTTATAATATAAGCTTTGCTTGATTTGGTTAATTTTCGATAACTGGAAGGATGATGATTGAAAATATCAACATTGCTTGATTGTGGTCCCTTTGAGCTTGGCTTTTACAAATTATGTATTCTTTGAAATGTGCCTGGATTGAGAGCACAGATTAATTATTTTTATTCAATGAATTTAGAAATCTCATGGTTCGGGCAGAATATGGATAAATTTGTCCAAAATGTGAAATGTCAGCATAATGTTTCTTGCTTGAGTTAACTCCATCTCTATCCTCTTTGTCTGCATTTATGTGCATACTTCTAGAATCCATTCAGTTCCTTTAAATAAAGAACATGTCTCAGGTCTCATTTTTCTGTTTATATTTGTAACTTTACTCTTTTTTACTTTTTATATTTAAAAGTATGTTTGCTAATGCCTTTAGCCTTCTGTTTGACTCTTTGCAAGTTTGCATCCCTCATTCCATGTTCTTAGCATATCATTCCATGTTCTTATTGGGGAAAATTCGTGGAAGTTCCGGGCCAGCCAGAACTGCACAAATAAAAAACTAGGCTTTTGGGTCTGGTTGGTTTCTAAGCTCTTTTGGATATTTGTATGGTTTTCTTGAGCACTTTTCATCGTAAGTGTGAACTTTCCATCCCCCTTAATAGTACGGTATGTCCTAAGACTCAAAAAGATAAAATCAATAGCTAAACCTTCATTTTTGGTCTTGACATGCATTCTCATGAAAATTTGGGGGCCTCCACATATATCCTTCCTTTTTGCTTGCTCTTGATCATGTATAATCTCTGCTTACACTTAACAAGTGCCATTAGTCCTTTTTCTAATTATGTTGTCATTATATCACCAAAACTACAAATCGGCCTAGATGCACTTTCACTATGGATGAGACAAACCTTGATGGATTTTGGCTATAACCTCAACTATATTCCACTTTTGTGTGACAATGAGAGTGTCATAAAAATAGCCAATAATTCGGTCCAACACTCTAGAACCAAACACATTGATATCCGCCACCATTTCCTAAGAGATCATTCCACTAAAGGTGACATTGATATCAAACATGTGAGAACCGAAGAACAATTGGCCGATATCTTTACAAAACCTCTTGATGAGCGTCGTTTTTGTCAACTCCGGAATGAAATAAATATTCTTGATGCTCATAACGTAGGTTGACTTGTTGTATGAAAAAGGCTTGAAAATAAAATGAGTTTAATGCCATGCTTATGTGATTTTGAAAATTTGTTTCAAAACTATTTCATATCATGGCTTGTGACCATTGCTTTGTATTGATTGAATGTTTCTGGTCATAAGTTATGGTAATTATATGCCCAAAGTTCAAGTATCAAAGTCTTTCTCAAATTCAATCTTCATTCTCAAAATTCCTGAAGCAGTAAATTTCGGACATTCCAAAATTTTCGGAGTATCCGGTTTAAACCGGACACTCCGGATTTTTCCGGAATGTCATCCTCAGTTCTGAAGCCTCCCCTGAAAATCTTCTCAAATTTCCTTAAGTCAATTTTGGACATTCCGGATTAAACCGGAATGTCAATCTCAGTTTCATGTCCTAGAGAGCAGTGGAAACCAGACATTCTGGATTAAAACGAAATGTCACTCTCAGTTTTCGGATCTGGCCGAAACCGGACAGTCCGAAATTTTCGGACAATCCGGTTTTTGTCGGGTTAAAGGGTGAATCCGGAGAAGTTACCCTTTCATTCTAACCTTTTACCACTTCTCTTCACCTCTCTCTTCACCCTTCGGCGACCCGAGGTGCTCTTCATCGATCTCTTCACCGAGCCAAGACATTCCTCGATCTAAAGTGGGAGATTGGACTTCATCAACCGGAGATTCAATCCCTCCGATTCATTTCCTCCGGTTTGTCCCCGTGTAACATCTCTGATGTTAAGCAATCAAATTGACCTAATAAACTTTGGAAATATGAAATTAAAACCTTAAAGAAGAAGTGACATTGTGGCACATAAAATGATAAGCTCAATTTCAACATTTCCATAAGAGCCAAAATTGGAAAATGTCCAAAAGAGCAAAAATTTATAACCACACTTAAAAATCTACCAAAATAAAATTTGTTAGTCTTTTCAAATAGAGAAACTTTTGTTATATTCACCTTTTCCAAAAATGGGGAGAAAATGGTGAAAAACACCACTTAAGGTCGACCACATTTAAATTTGACCTAAGTCACAAAGGCTGATTTTGAATTTTGGCCAAATCATCAAATTTTTCCACTAAACTTCAAAATCTCAAAAAATAAAAGTTGTTCAGCTTCACATATGAAACAATTTTGGTATTGAACGATTTTTGTAAAATTGAGTGGAAGCCATTCAAAAATTTGAAAAACCGTCCAAAACCGACCCAACTTCCTACTTCGCCACTGCTCAAATCATCGACATTTTCATATGTCATCCTTTGTAAAAGTTGTGTCCCAGGATAACATCTACAACTTTTACTTTGGAAGATTTTGTTGCACAGTTCAAAATTTTGGAGAACGTTGGATGCCAACTGTCGGATTCGTGAGTGCACTCAAGTACCTCTGATCGTGGTCACCACTTGCGCCTGTGAGGAACGCGTGGCGGCGCTGCTGTTGCCCGACCAACCCTCGCCGGTTGTATCCTGGCTCCTCGCGCACGCTTCTGGCCACTTGACGGGACAAGTCGACCCCGGTCCGCTCCCCGTTTCCCGAGCCACGCCGCTCGGTCCCCAAGCTCTGCAGCCGCGCCATGACTTGCTGTTGACCCCGACCAAGCCCTGACCCGCTCTTGCCCAAAAGGTCCTCGCCCACGCCAAGATCTCCCGACCTATCTCACGCGAATCCCCGGCCACCAACGAACGAACGGCGGGACAAGTCGACACTCATGGCGGCCGCCTCCGCCGCCGCCTTCTACTTGCCCTCCTGTCCAGGCTACTCTGAGCACTTGACAACCTCGATGGAACCTCACTTTGGCCCTACCTATAAAAGTGGAGGTCTCTTTCAAGGCCGCGCGCCCCGGACATCTTCCCCTTGACGCCATTGCCGCCAAGCTCTCCGCTCCCCGTCGCCAATGAGCCGAGCCCTCTCCTCTCGCCAACGAGCTGCACCACTCAACTTGAGTCACCCATCAAGCTCACAAGTCCACACATTGACCCCACTCGCCCTAGAGCTCGCGGAGTTGAGGCCGAACCTCACCTACAAATCAAGACCACCTCCAAAGTAAACATTCCCCCGAGTTTAGCTGAATTTGAATTAAAACCGAGAGGATTGCTTTAATTTCAATCTTGCATTGCGAGGACCACTCGTAATTAGATTCTTCAAGTTTTGAGTGAAATGAGAAGTTCAAAAATCGATTAAAAATCATAGACGAAAATGCAAACTAAAATTCTCTGAACTCGTGATGATGAGAACTTCATTTCTACAAAGCTTATACATATGTTTGAGCAACACATTTTAAACTAAAATTCAAAAACCGAAAAAAAACTTGTGCACCATTTGAAATCTACTGTTCCTCTGTAGCTCCATTTTGATATGTTCACTCACTAAAAGACCCAGTGAACCCAAAGATAACCTTGAGTTAAGAATACCAGCAACCTATTTAGAGCATGACCCATTGTTCTAAATTTTATGCAACTTAGCAATTCCTATGATTATGCATTTATGTTTCTAGGAGTTGTTTGAAACCTTAGTTGCATATTCCATTGCTTATTGTACTATAACTTGTTTGAATACTAGTTGATAAGCTCTGGTAAAAAGATCAAGTGGAGCCATGCTTTAAGGACACGGTAAAAAGCTCAACTTTTAGTAAGTGATTTCTGTCACTCAAGGTTAAGTTATAGGAGTTGTACTTTTCTAGATATCCAAAGGTGGAATGATAAGGGCAAGGGACTATGTTACCCGTATTTGTCTAAATTTATGTGTTTGAAACCAGTTGCATATTAATCTGTGTAGATCAAAGTGACTTAAGGTCGAAACATGTGGTACCTTTCTGTCAAGTTTTTGAACGTACTAAACACATGCTAGGGACATGGGACCGGTGAGCCCAGTACCGATTGATGCAGGAAGGATCTTTAACCTGCTTTCTTGGAAGTGTATTTCCCTTGTTGATCACATCTGGGTATATGCGCGACGCCGGGTGCGGATAGCCTTTGCCCTAAGTTAGTGGGATCTAGAAACCACCTGCGGATCGAGGGGAAAAGCCTGGGGTGTGTTTTGCCATGTGTGGTAGACCATCCCGTGTGTTTGGGTTTCCCTTGCAAGGTTACAAAATTCGGTTCGAACTGTCCGCTTCTCGTGGTTATGAGACTGCTTGACCGTTGTGCTGCATTGAGTAACAAGTGGAAGAAAAGTGGTGATCATAAATCGATGCTTGGAATAATTGTTTGAACCACTTGACTGCTTAGATAGGTTGCTAAGCTTAGAATGGATAAGCTA